ATAGCTAGTATAAGGGTAAAGCTAATTCCTTACTCTTTGAACATAGTAATGGTTATCCAAAAGTACAGTGCTTCTTAACCTGAAGAATCCATCAGCCAGAATGACTAAGATCCATTCACAAACGTCTTCCTTATTAACTTCTAAAATTCCTTTGAAAGCTAGAAGAGGCAGTTGCTCTGACTGACTGTACATTTGTGGGGGTTAAAAATGCAAGACAGTCACAAAGGTAAAGTAAGTGTAAGTAATAGGGCTGGGTGGTTTCGTTCGTTAATTTCGTAATTCGTTATTAATTCATTATTTTTTTATAACGAAGCGATATTGAACCATTCAGGAGCAACTAAAAAACGAAACGAATTTTTCCAATTCGTTTCGTAATTGTTTCGAAATTGTTTCGTTATTATTTTGTTATTATTTCCATATGTCTGGTGCAAGTTTTATAGTTGTTGTTTGTTTTATCAGTGATAAAAAAAATTATCACACCAACTTGACTGTAAAACTATAAAACTTGCACCAGACAACAGAGGGAGAGGGAAGCTTCAGAAGTTCCCCCTGTCCCATTTGGAGGGTTTTTTAGCGTATTGCGCAATCGCGTCCGCCATTAACGAATCGATTCGTTATTGTTTCGAAATTATTTTGTAATTTCCGAAATTTCGTAAATATCGAACTTTTTAAAAGAAAAGTTTCGGAATTCTTTTAAATAACGAAACACAAAACCCCCCTAAAAACGAATCGAGTTTATTTATTTATTTATTTATTTATTTACTTTACTTGTATACCGCAGTTTCTCAGCCCAACAGGCGACTCAGCGCGGTTTACAACAAGGATAAGAATCAATCAACGATATACAATTTAAAACCATAAAAGCATAATATACAATATTGACACAACAATAGTTTAGAAACAATTTTTTCCGTGGCTGGACAGCCCTAGTAAGTAACATTAGTATCCCTTCAACACATCTTACAGACTCCCTTTATCTGATGTATCATCCTGAATTTAAAGGGCTTCCCCACCCATCTGATTCTTCCCCAGTCACTTCTCCCATATTTCACTATCTCCTCTGCTGCTCACCCTGGACTCTATTGCCCATTCTCCCACCACAAACCTCAGTCTAAAATTTAAGGTCGTGGTAGGAAATTGAAGGAATTAGTGGTCAAATGACAGGCAATGGAGTATGGGAAAGGGAGTGATGAAGAAAGGGGTTTCAAATCTGGATGAGGTTTCAGTGGGAAAGTGGGGAGGGGAGCAGAGGAAGGAGTTTCAAACCCGGATGTTCCTTCAATGGGAAAGGTTGGGAAGGGATTGAGGGGCTGTTGGAAAGCCAATAAAGGAAAGCTAGGGCAGCATACAAATTGAAGTGTGGAGGTGGAGCTACTTAAAGGTTTGCTACAAACTCAAATATCCAAAATCATCAAACCTTGCGCAGGTCACACTCTGTCAGCCTTAAAGGAAAGCAAAGGCAAACCCCCTCTGTACAAATCTTGCCAAGAAAACATTGTTATAGGTTCACTTTAGGGTCTTTATGAAATGGAAACAACAATAACATCATCTTTTGGAAATGAATTCTCCATGTGCTTTATTGATTAGAGTGCTGGATTTTAACCTAAAGACCTTGTCACACAGCTGCTGGAATAGCTGGACATCTTCTTGCATTGTCTGAGGGCATGGGCAATCCAGCACCCCATGCTCTGTATCACCTGGCTCAAGTAAGGGTGATCTCATGGGGGAAGCATGGATCGCATGGCTTCCCTCTATGGATTCCAATGCCGGCTTCACCCACAGAGCCCCGCTGGCATCGTTTGGTGCAATAACACTGTTCTACAAATTTTCAGTTTTTCTCAGTTGCAGAAATGAAATGTGCCGTTTCTTAATAAATTTAACATGCTGAATTCAAATATAATAATTAAATGTGTTAATTGGCTCTGGTTTTTATGCAACAGCTATTTCAATTTTCTCCACAATAGGTAATTCTTTAATAATTATGATAATGCGCCTAACCTTACTGCATGTATATAAACCGTGAATATTTACTAAATTTTAGTCAAATTATATTGCCAATAGTTTATACATGAGAAATATTTATTTAATTAGTCTATTGTTTATGTTTGTGCAGCAAGAAACTATATTAGTAGGCCTAATGCAGTTGAAAAGTCTGAAAGTTTAAATGTCGCTTTAATCGTGGCTTTAGTTTATATCCTGTTTGCTTCTTTTGACTTATCTTTTGTATTCAAGGAAAGGATTGTCTCTTACAATGCTCCAGCAGTAGTCTGACAGCATTGACGGAGTCCATTTGCCTTGATCTCTTTTTTCCATAGTGCTTTATTTACACACGTGCAAGGCATAACTACAGTAAAAAGAACAATGTAAAACGATGTTTAACGATACTGTCTCAGTCTTCAACTGACTGACCCTCAGTGTTCAAAAGTCTGGCCTTATATAGGGCTTTCTGGCTTTTGCACACGGCACTAATACTGTGTCATCAAACATTCTAGAATATTCTAGAATCTTCCATAGTGTAAGTCGCAACATGCATTTTTTCAACCATACGTGATCATGTGATTGCTTATATCATAAAAACTAGAGCCAATATACATTTTTAAATGTCATTTTCGTTTTCAGCACCCCAAAATTATAAAAGAACAGCTATTTTCAGGCCCGCAACTTTCTAGAATCTTCCATAGTGTAAGTCGCAACATGCATTTTTTCAACCATACGTGATCACGTGATTGCTTATATCATAAAAACTAGAGCCAATATACAGTTTTAAATGTCATTTTCATTTTCAGCACCCCAAAATCATAAAAGAACAACTATTTTCAGGCCTGCAACTTTTTCTCCGTTGAACAGTGTAATAAAGGATGGCTGGACAGGCTGAGCAAAGGTCTTGAGGGAGAAGAAATACACACATCCTCACACACAAGGCAGGACAGTGGGATGCCACCACTGTATATTAAATATTTCTTTTCTGCCACCAAATATTTATTAAGGTTTCTTTTGCTGCCATCTTCTATTGTTTCATAGGGCACGTCCTTGCCACAATGTTTAAGAAGACACACAAACTCTTCAGGTGAAATAAAACAAGAAATATGTTGTTTATTTTGTTTTTGAACAGTAAAGATGCGTTGTGGTTTCAATAAATTGACAGGCTTTACTTTTACAGAGAATGGTTCTATAACTTGAGTTTCTTACAAGCAATGTTCCACACACACAAAGGTATATAAACAGGTTATTCTGAACCTTTTGAATATCTTTCCACACCAGCACTATAGAGGCCTAACTATATCTCTTACTCCTTCTCCCTGGCTTTAACTATTTTCCTCAAAGAGGTATCTTTTAATCACAGTTCCCAAAACTCTTCTTCCTTCCCTTCAAAACGCCTAACTAACTCTTTAAACACCAAACTCCCAACTGACAATTATGGCTACCTTAGCTCCTTCCTTTCCATTTGGCTCCACCCATCTCCAGTTGCTAACTTCCAGCTGTGAAACTGCCTGATCGCTTCACCCCCTTGCCCTCCTTAACTTTCCTAGGCCAGGCCTGTTGACTGCCTTTACACCAACCCTGTAAGATAGGCCAATCCATTACATTTGTCATCAAAGTTTTGTTCTTTTTACAAGTCTTATCTGAAGGATCAGGCCTGAAATTGGTCTTCAGGATGGTGCATTTAAAAAACCAATCTGGATTAAGAGAAGCTTACATAGCTTTGCTGCTTTGATCCTAAAAAAAAATCTGAGAACTTTTGCGTTTCCTCAGAAGGTTGATTGTTCACACCAAAAGTGTTGAAAGCAGTGGTTGAATTAATTCAGAATTTATATTGCTTGCTTACATTTCATATCAGCTTTGACTAAGAGCAATGTTGTGGTTTGGATGTTGGATTAGGATTGTGAGAGTTCAAATCATCACTCAGCCATGGAAACCCACTGGGTGGTCTTGGACAAGTCTAATACTCAGGGGCGGCTCGTCCATTACACGAAGTAAGCAGTCACAGAACACTTTTTTTTGCCAGGGGCGCAGAGGCACCTCTGTAAATGCCCCTCGACCGCCACTTGAGGAGCGCCCCCTCAGCTCACAACAGCCCTAGCAGTCCGGGGGGAGCCTCGGCTTTCTTGCCTCGCTGCCAGGTGATCCTCTTCCCAAAGGGGCCAGGCCCTTGAGCCTCACCTAGCCCCTCTCGTTCCTGCTCCACCCGGCCACCGGGTGTGCGAGCAGAGCCGGCACTCAATCGTTCTCGGCGTTCGATCCTTTCCCCATGACCGGCTCCCTTTCCCGATCCCCAGGCGCTCCACCCGCCTCCTCTCCTCTCCCCAATCCGCGGGTGCGCCAAGGGGCGGAGCCGCCGCGTCTGGCCCGCTTCAGGTCCGGAGGCGTGTCTGAAGACCCCAGCGTGTGCACCAAAAGTCACCTCTTCTCCTGACTTTCTCTTCAGCCATTGGGACCAAGAGAGAGAGAGAGAGAGAGAGCCTCCGGCTGGAGGTATCTCCCACCTCCGCTCCCTCCTTTGTTTTTGCGCTTACCTTCAGGAAAGGTGGGCATCTCCACCTCTCTCTCTCTCTCTCTCTGGTCCCAATGGCTGAGGAGAAAGTCAGGAGAAGAGGTGACTTTTGGTGCACACGCCGGGGTCTTCAGGCACCTCCGGACCCAAAGCGGGCCAGGCAAGGGAGCAAGTGCGGCAAGTGTAGTTACTGGGATGTATAATTCACCTACAATCAAAGAGCATTCTGAACTCCACCAATGATGGAATTGAACCAAATATGGCACACAGAACTCCCACAAACAGAAAATATATATCAATGATTGGTTGGGGGGGGGGGGCGCCAAAATACTGTTTGCTTACCATTGAAAATTACCTAGGGCCGCCTGTGCTAATACTAAATCTCATTTGAATAAATCTTGTCAAGTAAATTGTGTGATAGGATTGCCTTAAGTCACAACTGACTTGAATGTATATAACAATAATAATTTTTACTATTTTTATTTCCTCATTTGGCATTTGTACACAGGGAGGCGGTGACTGTCCAGAAATGAGTATTGGGGCCATCAAAATAGCTCTTGAAATTTCTCTTCCTGGTTCGTTCATCTATGTCTTTACTGATGCGCGGTCAAAGGACTACAGACTGACGCATGAAGTCCTGCAGTTGATTCAACAGAAACAGTCGCAGGTAAGAAGATTTTGAATTTCTGGTTGCTACCGTTCTTTAAAATTGATTATCAACTGTCTTATTATGTAGATCACAACATGGATCAAATATAGTAGTGCCTGATATGAAGTAAATCTGATTAAGTTTGCTTCCAAATAGAGTCTGTGTAGGATCGCAGTCTAATTTCCATGCTATACTAAGAATTAGGTGAATTACACCCACCTCTCTTTTAGCAAATTTTTGACTCCGTGTTTTGCAGAAACATTAAGAAATATAGTTAAAATAATCCTAAAAGGACAGTAGAATGATGTCTACCATAAGGACTAAATACCTTAATGGCTAAAGAGATAATTTTGTGGGCAGTGCTAGTTGATGACTCCCATATCAATGGGTCAGTGAGCCTGCTCATGGGTTTTTTCCATGATGGTGAAATTATTTGGAAACTACAGTTGGGAACCTTGGATAGCTCTTTTAAATGTCAGTGAATATGAAAACCATGACCCACCACAGGTTGTAGAGAAAGAGCAAGCAGGAAACTTAGTGGAAGTGAGGATGAAATGGAGTGCTATAGAAGAAAGAATAGGTGACTGGACCACTAAACAAAAGCATTCTGCTAGCCAGCATTCACTGAAATGATTACAGGTAGTCTCCAAGTTATATTATTTATATATTTATTTATTTACCATATTTATATCCCACCTTTCTCAGCCCAAAGGCAACTCAAGGCAGTTTACAGTCAGCACAATTTGATGCCCCCAACAACATAAAATACAATTAAAAAACTTTTAGCAATTAATATAAAAACCATACAAAACCAATAAAAACATAAATCCTCATAAAACATAAATTATTTTCCAATTCACGTTGTTCAGTCGTTCCATAGATCTATATTTGCCTGTTACACTGCATTTGCAAATGCTTGCTCAAAAAGCCAGGTTTTAAGTTTTTTTTAAATTTTTAGGAGGGAGGGGGCTGATCTAATATCCCTAGGTAGGGTGTTCCACAGCTGAGGGGCCACTACTAAGAAGGCCCTGTCTCTCATCCCCACCAAACACATCTGTCAAGAAGGTGATACCGAGAGCAGGGTCTCCCCAGATGTTCTTAGAGTCCTAGATGGTTATAAACATCTGACTTTCAAACAACTCATACAACCTCATCACAAGGGCAGGATGTTGGCGACATACATCATTTTCCAATTCACGTTGTCCAGTCGTTCCATAGATCTATATTTGCCTGTTACACTGCATTTGCAAATGCTTGCTCAAAAAGCCAGGTTTTAAGTTTTTTATAAAATGTTAGGAGGGAGCCCATGGAGCCCACCAGCTCCCATCAAATAATGCTCGCAGGGATCTGTGGGTGAAGTAGGGGAGAGCCCGCGCATGCTGTCACTGCGGCAACATGGGAGCCTTCCTGTGTTGCCATAGAAAGTCAAAACTTGACGATGGGACCAAGCCTTCGGGCAGTAAGCAATACATCAGGGATTATGTGGAATTGATATTTGACATTTGGAATGGTCTTGGATCACAATTTCTGGATTATGTGATTTTAATATTTATATTAATATGTTTTTAACTCCATGCTTTGATTGTCTAAATGTTGTTACGTTTTTTAATGATCTAATTGATAATTATATGTTATGGTTGTTCTACGTTAGGTTTTATATGTATGTGAGGCATTACATTTTGTTATAAATATGCTTGAAACCGCTTTGAGTCCCCCTGCCTCCTGGGTTGAGAAAAGCGATATACAAGAGAAGCCAATAAATAAATAAATAAATAAATAGGAAACCACTAGGGCTGGGCGGTTTCGTTTCGTTAATTCGTAATTCGTTAAAAATTCGTTATTTTTTTTAACGAAGCGATAACGAACCATTCTGGAGCAACCTAAAAACAAAACGAATTTTCAATTCGTTTTGTAAATGCTTCGTATTTCATCATGTATTCGTTTCGTTATTGGTTTGAGGTCGTTTCGTTATTATTTCCGCATGTCTGGGGCAAGTTTTATAGTTGTTTTTTGTTTAATTAGTGAAAAAAATTATAATATCACACCAACAGTCAACAACAGAGGGAGAGGGAAGCTTCAGAAGTTCCCCCTGTCCCATTTGGAGGTTTTTTAGCGTATTGCGCGGTCGCGTCCGCCATTAACGAATCGATTCGTTATTGTTTCGTTATTGTTTTGTAATTTTTTTACCATTTACGAAATTTTGTAAATATCGAACTTTTTTTTAAAAAAAATTCGGAATTCTTTTAAATATCGAAACGCAAAAAACCCCAAAAAATGAATCGATTTTAGAAACAAATTTTTCCGTTGTTACCCAGGCCTAGAAACCACATCATCAACGTTTCCCTTATGATCAGCTGATTCGGAAACCGGGTTTTGCAGGGCGTGGGGCACCAGATTCCCCATGTTCCCCAATGATGTGAGATGGCACTGGGCCATGTGACAAGGTCGATAGTCAAGAATGGGGATGAGACAATAGGAAGTAAGATAAATCTACCCCCAGGAAGGGAAATTCACTCCTTAAAGAGTTATCGTGGGGAAAATGTGTCTCCACCAAAGCTTCATCATCAATCCTTGTTTCAACAAGCTTTCCCCCCCCCCCCAAAATTCAATTATCATAGGAACAGAAAGTAAGGCGAAATCTTAGGAACAGGGGCACAGACAGCAAAGCAAACTGTGCAGGGGAGTTAACCCTTCCCTATGCTATCAAAACACACACACACACACACACATCCAGAGTTTCCCTTAAAAATGTACCTGTTCTGACCTATATAAAAATTCAACTTAAGAAAAAACCCTACAGATTCTGTCATGTTCAATACTTGGGGACTGCCTATACTAATATTTTTCAGTGATGATCTCTTAGCATTTCTTGGGTGTTGCAGCAAAGGGCTAACCAGCTTTCTTTGACATGTTTCCAGCAGCTGCTCTCTGTTTTTGATTATTCAGGCCTGGGAGTCCCACTGGTCATTCTTTCTAGGAAGCAAGACCTGGAGTCAACAGCTGTATAGGAGTGGAAAATAAAATAAAATAATAGAAAGCATCTTGGAAACAAAGGGACTTAGTGTCCAAGTTTTTACCTCTGCATTTAATTGGGATCCTAGTTTGGCAATTCCAGCAGTTATTTTTGCTTTTCGAAAATAGTTGTGACTAATAAAAATGTGTAATTACAGGAAGCATTAATGAATGTTATGAAACAGCAGGTCGATCTTTTGAGCTGCCAATATGGTACTGTTCTTCTGAAAGTTATTATACTAATTACTTGTGACTGAAAATATTAAATAAAGCATATCCACTAAGGGCCTAATGTATATTCTTTCAGCTAACTGATTTCTGATGCTTTTCTTTTTCTATTCTTTTTTCAATAGTATGACTATTTTAAATGGCTTTCCCCCCCTTTCCCCCCTATAGGTTGTATTTGTCCTAACAGGAGACTGTGATGATAGAGCACATATTGGTTACAAGGTCTATGAAGAAATTGCTTCAACAAGTTCTGGTCAAGTTTTTCACCTGGACAAAAGGCAGGTTAATGAGGTATGAAAGAACATGCTGCACTTATATGATCTCCTTTGGTGATTTTATTTATTACATCAGTATCTTGCCCTTCTCCACTCTGTTCAAAATGGTATACATGGACTGGTTATATTTTGCTTTTACAACCTCCCATAACAGGGAATAACTGATCTAGTCCATGTCAATTTTACTCCATTCTGTTGCTTTCCTGCATCTACATATTTAATTTAAAAATCTGCACCAAAATAGTATTTACAGGTTGAGCTAAGACCTGTATCACAACATTCAGACAGATTTAAAATCTGAAGCATAGATATGTTCTGAGTCACACATTATCTCAAAGGGCGAGAACAAGTCAGTTCATATAGTATTTCATAAACTTCAAATTCTTCAAACTGACTTATTGAGAAAGTTGCTCAAAAGCACTCAGTGAACTTCATTGTTGTGCCCAAATTTGAAACATGATCTATCCTTTGGATGCAATTTAAGGAAAACCTTCCAAAACTATAATAATGAGTCCTGTCTATTCATAGTTATTACAGTTTAGCTAACCACGATTTTCATCTCCTTCCCAACATCTCTCTCGTCCTTAAGTTCACTGTTCACTGAAATATGGTATCTCTGGTTGTTACTCTATTTAGAATGCATGATTTCTCAGTCAGTCTCTTTCAACATTACCTCCTTCCCTTGTCTCCTTATTGTTGATGATGATTCCTTCAGTCGCTTCTGACTCTTTGTGACCTCATGAACTAGCCCACACCAGAACTCTCTGCCATTGCCACCCCCAGCTCCTTCATAGAATCATAGAATCAAAGAGTTGGAAGAGACCTCATGGGCCATCCAGTCCAACCCCCTGCCAAGAAGCAGGAATATTGCATTCAAATCACCCCTGACAGATGGCCAGGTCAAGCCAGTCACTTCAAGAATAACATCCATTCATCTTGCCCTCTTGCTTTTTCCAGCATCATTATCTTCTCCAAGCTTTCCTGTCTTCTCATTATGTGGCCAAAGTACTTCATCTTTGACTCTAATATCTCCTACTGTGGCTAAATCAGGGATGGCAGGAGAGCTTGGATGCTACCTTGACCCTTTGAGGAAATACTTGCAATAAATCTATGGCTTCTGTGCTTCTGGATTTGAGACAGCAACATTGGTTAAATGTTTTTGTTATTTTATTGTCCAGTTGTAAAGAATATTGAAGTCAGGAGCAGATTTAGAGTGAGAGGGTAAGAACAGTGGAGATACATGTTAATAGGAAGAAAAAAAGTATTGACAGCTAATATTGTGTTAACGCCTAAATGTGTCGAAATATGCATAGTGAGTGTTCACAACAATAGTATCATACAACACCCGTAACCATAGGATCGACACCTGCAGTTTCACAAATCCATGTCTGACAAAATATGTCCTTTTAAAGTGTTTAATCGCCCTCCATCCGAGAATGCGCCAGGCGATTTACAGCTAAATTGTAAAAGATAAAATACATACATACAAAAATAAAAAAATTAACAGGGATCGAATGCTCTAGTAAAAAGCCAGGTCTTAAGTGCTTGAGTAAAAGGCCCTAAGTCACGCATGGCTCTCATGTAGGGCGGCAAGGAATTCCACAAGGCAGGGGCAGAAATAGAAAAAGCCCTGCGTCTGGTCCTTTCCAGGTGCACTTCTCTAGGACCCGGTATATAGAGTAAGTCGCTTTGGGCTGATCGTTGCGGCCTCCAATGATGGGAGAAGGAGAGGTACGATGGACCCTGGCCGTAAAGAATTTTAAAGGTCAGAACTAACATCTTATACAGGCCACGGTACTCAGTTGGAAACCAATGTAAGTGTTGCAGCACAGGTGTTATATGGCATTTCATGGGCCATGAAATGCCATATAACACCTGTGGCCATGGTAAATTGGCATGGAAGCGGGGCAATCCCGAAGGCTCATACTCAGCCTCACCGGCACCAGCAACTTCCCCATCATACACAGGGAATCATTGCCATGCAGCTTACCCCTGCACTGGCCCCATGGCTTCAAATGGAACACAGGAAGCCTACCATGTCCCCAGGGCAGCATCATAGGACGCTTGTGCCCCAGTTGAGTCATAGAGCCCCAGTGGAAGTTCACCTACATCATCTGATGGCCTGTGTGAGGCTCCATGGCTCAACTGGGGCAGAAGCGTCCTACAATGCCAAAATGATGTTATGTGATGCAGTCGTATGTCTATACAACTATGTCCATGGAGACTATTCACAAGAGCACGGAGAAATGAAACAATACCATGGACAGCCTTTTCCATGAATTTGTGATTGTTCCATGCTTCTATACATCCAGTCAAACCTCATGGAGTAATGCAACATGCCAATCTGTCTCTGGTTGAGCCCAGTCACACTGTGCTAGGGGCCAGAGTAGAATCACATCAGACAACAACCATGACATATTGCCAATTTATTTTAAACTATTCCAATTATATTCCACTTTTTTTCAATGTATGGTCCAAGGTAGTATGAATTAAAATGTAATACAGTCAAAACAAAGATAAAAGTAGTGAAAATAAGTGAGTATGTTATAAATGTTAGTAAACAAAGCTTTAAAAGAAGTAGACACATACTAAGGATGACTAAAAATACAATATGTCTCATCCATGCAGAGAGTTAGCATCTTTGCCTGCTTGGAGTACAGGATCTTTGCCTGCTTGGAGTAAAACTAGGGGGGGGGGTGGGCAACACCCTAGTTTCATGGGTGAAAAAATTCCACAAGCCTGGGAGCAGGCACAGAGAATGCTCTTCTTTGTGTCTTCATCCCCTGAGAACCTTTTTTTCTTGGTCAGCATAATATCCTCAGAATTTCCTTGGTTGACACAACTCTTGGGCATTCTTGAGCTGGCCATTCCATTATATTTTTAGTTTCCTATATTCGAGCCATTCACTGAAAGAAAAAAGCAGGTTGAAGGTGCGGTGTCAAGGCTCTATGATCTTGTTCCTCTTCCAAGCCTTTTCAGGTTCCACATTGTTGTTGTAGACAATAGTTGTTTCGCAAGCTCTGTTGATTTTAATTTGCTGAATCAAAAATTCAGATGTTGTTAATTTGGGTAATCTGAATCAGCTGTCATGGTTGTAAACATTCCCTAGGACTTCCCGATACATACAAAAAGTCTGTCAGCTGTTTGGTGGTATTTTTCAGAAAGATATAAATATTCTTTTTTGGTGGGAAAATTAATAGTTTTGGGTTGTTTGGTCAGAGTTTTGACTGTTTTATTGTTCCATGTTTTTGTTTAAGAACATATTGATCATTTAGTCTTGGATGGCAGTATGTTTTTCTGTTTGCAGATCTATATACATTGTACTTGGATTTGTTGAGACTGTTGTAATGAGTTTTAGTTAAATAAATGTGCTTTGATAATTTACAATTTGTCCTTCATCAGAAAGCATTTTTGTATGTGGTAGCTGGAGACTGAGTGGCCTTATTTATACAATGGCCATGATGGATTAGGGAGGATAGGAGTTGTATTCCTATAGGGTTGTGAAAAGCTGCTGTCAGATGTAGAATACTGGGTTAAAGAAATTATAATAGCATTTTTTTTTGATTATACAGTGAAGTGAGTGCTGCCTGCATTCATGTAAAGCTGGATTATATAAAGAGTAGGGCTGTCCAAACACGGAAAAATTTGTTTCTAAACTCGATTCGTTTTTTGGGGTTTTTTGCGTTTTGTTATTTAAAAGAATTCCGAAATTTTCCTTAAAAAAAGTTCGATATTTACGAAATTTCGGAAATCATAAAACAATTACGAAACAATTACGAATCAATAACGAAACAATAACGAAACAATTCCGAAACGAATTGGAAAAATTCGTTTCGTTTTTTAGTTGCTCCTGAATGGTTCAATATCGCTTCGTTATAAAAAAAAATAATGAATTTTTAACGAATTACGAAATTACGAAACGAAACCGCCCAGCCCTAATAAAGAGGTTAGTACCTTTTGTGTATGGTGCATGTGTGGACATATGTATCAAAAACCAAGCATGCACTCTGTGTTCCCCAGCATTAACAATATTATTTACACAGTCCATATTTGTGTGGTATCTATTACAGCAAGAAGAAAATTGTATTGCAGTGACAACAATGGCCAAATGGAATTAGAATAACAGCATCTTAGAGCTGGAAGGGTCCATAAGGAACATCTAGTCCAAACTCCTGCTATTCAGGAATAAAGCACTTCTGAGAGACGATCATTCAGGCTCTGTTTGAAGCTCTCCATAGGTGAAAAGTTCACCACCCTTTAAGGCAGTCTATTCCGCTGTCAAACTCTTACAGTCAAGTAATTACTAGTGTTTAGGTGGAATCTTTTTTTGTACAGGCAGTCCCCAAATTATGAAGAAGACAGGTTTTGTAGCCTTGTTCTTAAGTTGAATTTGTTTGTAAGTTGAACATGAACATTTTTAAAGTGTAACTTCAACTAAGTGTGTGTGTGTGTGTGTGATTTGGATAGCATAGGAAAGGGTTAAAACCCCTGTAGTGTTTGTTTTGCTGTTTGTGTCCTTATTCAGAAGATTTCACCTCACTTTCTGTTCCTGGGACAATTAAAAAAATTGTCTTGTTGTGGAAACAAGGATTAGTGAAAAAGTTTGAGTGGAGATACCTTTTTCCCATGATAACTCTCTCAGAAGTGAGTTTCCCTTCCTATGGGTAGATTTTAGGGCTGGGTGGTTTCATTCGTTAATTTCGTAATTCGTTATTAATTCGTTTTTTTTATAACGAAGCGACATTGAACCATTCAGGAGCAACTAAAAAACGAAACAAATTTTTCCAATTCATTTCATAATTGTTTCGAAATTGTTTCGTTATTATTTCGTAATTATTTCCGTATGTCTGGTGCAAGTTTTATAGTCGTTGTTTGTTTTATCAGTGATAAAAAAAAATTATCACACCAACAGTCAACAACAGAGGGAGAGGGAAGCTTCAGAAGTTCCCCCTGTCCCATTTGGAGGGTTTTTTAGCGTATTGCGCAATCGCGCCCGCCATTAACGAATTGATTCGT